TCGGCCCCGACTTTTCCTCGGTCCTTTTTGATTGCCTTGAGCTTTTCTCATCACTTGCTCGGCTTGAAAGGTGTGCTGGAAGCCCTTATCTCAGGAAGAGTTCAGGGCGCTGCCTCTTCTCACTTCACCAACCGGGCTCAGGTGAGGCAAAGGCCACCCCTCACAGTGGAACAGGTGATAGTCTTGGAGTGCATAGTGAAGGACCGACGCCGCACCCCAGCCGACAGGATTGCAGCAGGGTTCTTCTTGGTGCTGATATACGGTCGACTTCGGTTTAGCGACGCTCAGAACATTGTGAGCCTCGACTTGGATGAAGTCGCCCTTCTGGGCGATGTCCGAGGGTTTCTGGAGTGCACGGCCCATCGCACCAAGACCAGTGTTTCTCTGCACATGGCGGCGGGTGGAGCAGCCACCCCCTTGGGGTGTCGTCGGCTGCCGTGTGGCTGAGAAATCTCCTCAAGGGCACTGTTACTCGAGGCGATATTGCCCTTGGCACCCATAGCTGTAAGGCCACGGTGCTTAGCTGGATGGGTAAGAGAGGCTTGCCACATGGGGCGCGCCGTCTTCTGGGATATCATGTCAGCCGCAAGGATGTGAGCCTCGTCATTTACAGTCGTGACGCCTTGGCTGCCCCTCTTAGGCTTATGTGTGAGATGATTCGTGAGATCAAGGCCAAAATTTTTCGACCAGATGTCACTCGCAGCGGCATGCTTTCTGAGGCTCCCCCGTCGAAGGAGCTTCCACCTGAGGTCCCTGAAATTTTGGAGCCCGTGCATTCCGACTCCAGTGAAGGGTCTGCCGACGAGGAAGACGATGAGGCCACTGATGAGGAGAAGGCTGTGGCACTGTGGCTGATGTGGCGGGCCCTTGGGGGCCCCAGGCGGCTGAGGACGGAGCCTGTCGCTTCGCCAGGCATAGGGTGTCGAGGTGCATCCACAAAGTGATGGACGAGAGTGGTGCGAAGCTTAAATGTGGCAGAAACATCACCACAAACATGGAGCTCTTGGAAGAGAAGCCCACCTTCCTCTTCCCGGTTTGCACTACTTGCTTTAATGATTTGTGACCGCTGAGTGGTCGTGCGGCTCTTCAGCCGGAGTTTTGCTCATGAGACTTCCGTCTTGACTGCAAGATGTCATGGAAAAGAAGAGCAATTACAGTGGGCGTACCCTTACCCTCAGCTTGGATGTTGCTGGAAGGGCAGATGTGCGCCTGTGAATTTGAGCCAGCTGCCACAAAGTTGACGGTCGATGTGGGCCAGGCCAAATGTGAGGCTCCAATGTTGTATCAACCATGTGTGCCATTCTGGACTGCCAATGTGGGCCGGCGGCTGAATGTGAGCCTCAACTTGGATGTTTCGGCAATGTGGCCAATCAACTTGATCAAGGTGGATCGGCGGCTGGTGTGGGCTGGCGCTATAGGGCCTGTGTGCATGTGGCCGAGTCTTTAACGCGGATTATCCATGAAATGATCGTGAATTTTCGATGTTTCGACTCGGTTTGACATGAATGACCCACATGTGCTGCTAGCTCTCACTGCTTAACATTGTTGTCATTGCAACGGTAGCTGCTGCTCCAGGGCATGTGGCAATGTGTTGCATCCGAGAACTGCCGCTTCTGGAAGGAGATTTTCTGTTCAAGATGTCTCTAGCCGACAGCGAAGCAGTTTTCAAGGCCCGGGCAACGGCCTGCGGTTTAGCTGATGGAGATTTCGCGAAGCTCAAAGCCGAAGGGCTCGAGACCATGGGCATGTTTGCCTTTTCTTGCAATTTTGCGCCGGGGGCGGCCAGCGAGGCCCCCTTTGTCGAACTTGTTGAGAAAGTCCTGGGAAATCCCCCGACAGTGAAGCAACTCGCATCTTTCCGGCGACTGTTCGCGGAAAGTTATTCCGCCGTTGCCTCCGACATCAAGACTCAGATCGAAACCACGGACGAGTCCGTGGCCCGAAAATTGCCTGCAGCTGATCGAGCCCAACGCTTGAAAGAGCAACAGTCTCGTATTTCAGGCTTTCAGATCCGTGGACCCTATGAACCAGGTGATTCCTTGGTTGACCGCTCGGTACAGATGCTTGAGCAGGACCGGTTGTCTTACCTGGAATGGGGCTCTTGCGTAAGTCGCGAACATGAATTGACCACAAACACAAGGAAAGATAACTCCGTTACATTCGACAACAATGGCCTTTTGCGCATGGCTAAGCGAGACAAAATCACACCATGCGATTCTTCAAGTGAACTTCAGGTGCGGTACTGCCTTATGCGCCGGGGCTTGGCCTTGGACCAAGCGGGCATCTTGACCTACGACCTCCACGAATCCCTCATTGAAAAACTCTTTCAGGCTAGGCTCACGGTTCCGCCCCCGAACTACTCGAGGGTGCAGATGACCCAGTTGGAGCATGCGGACCGCAAGTTCTTCGCCCTTCTTGGTGAGCACACGCGGGCAGGCATCAAAGCGTCCGCTGCAGGACGCCCATGTGACCTTGCTTTCAAGCTTTGCCTGGAGTGTACGGATTTCCTGACGTTGCTGCAGCCGCGCCCTTTTGCTGTCCAGAATTATGATCCTCCCAGGAAGTGGCGCAAGTTTGATGACAACAAAGGGGGAGGCAAGGGCAAGGATAAAGGCGGCAAAGATGGAGGCAAGGGCAAGGATAAGGGCCGCCAAGGTTCCAGTGACTTCGCAAGAGTGCCGCGGGCTCTGTTGGTTCTTGGTTGCATTGGCATGCACCCTCAAACGAAGCAGCGTTTTTGTTACAACTTCAACTTGAAGACGTGTCAGGAGGGTGCAAATTGCACTCGCGGTGCACACATGTGTGCCGTCAAGGGCTGCCATCAGGCTCATGCGGCCATGGATTGCCCCCGCAAGAAGACCTCGTGACTAGCCCCGGTGCATGAGCCGCAGACCGGTGAGCACTTGCGGCCTCCACTCCAGGACCCCGAGGGTCTTGCTCACACATGGCTCCGAGAGCGCAATTTTTGCGCCGCCNNAACATCTTGCAATTACTCGAGCTTTTGCCTCATGAGACCCCTCCCCGCCAAGGGGTGGAGAGTGGTTCATATAGTTTTAGCACCGGCTGCTACTCCCAGGGCTCCCTTAGTGGGCTTCGTCGCTCCGTGCGCCTTTTTCCGCATGTCAGTGAATATCTGTGTCGATGCGTGCATGCCATTGATGAGTCGCGCAACTTTACTACCATTTCCATCTTTG